TGAAGAGAAAAGGGAGATTATTAATTCGGGTAGGCTAATGGATCCTATTAATTTAGAAACCAAAGTAGAGAAGTCGGCAAAGAAATTCACGAAACATTTTCACGTGAGATTTTATGAGAAATATGAATGGTTTACCGGTTGCAAAATTACAATTGTACCTATATGCATGGTTCTAGAAAAATGATTGACCTTGAAATTTTCAAAAATTTTCGCCTGCGGCGCATTAAAGGGGGGGTAGCCCCTGTGACCTCTCTTCGCCGCTTCCGTATTTGTAAAGACCACCGCACGCCACTGTATTTCTCTAATAACTATCCCATAATTACATGCTGCACTGAATACAGGTAAATACTTGTACACTGGGGCTAAATGGCCATTTACGAAGGTACTGCATTTAGTAAGCTTGTCTATTGATCATTTATATTTCAGGTATTATTGCTGTTAATTGTTATACTTTTTATTTCTTTATTTAGGGACTCAAGTTGAGTGTAATTAATCATCATTGTAAATACTATTTCAAAAACATATGGTTAGACGTTTTCTTTTCTTGTTCTGTTCTGGTTCCAGTGTAAATAATTTTCAGTGTTCTAGGGCGGTCGGAAAACCCACTCCGAAGCTGCTCTGGAATCAAACCTGTCTTGTTCTGGTTCTAATTAAAACCCGTACCTGATTGTAGCAAAGCGTTTCACTTTTGTCCTCCCTTCTTGTTTACGTTTATATTTCAGGTTGTGCTGCTATAGGTCCGTAGAAGTTTCCTGCTTTCGTTATATCGGTTGATTTCGTGTACTGCAGGGAAAAAGCAGGTGGCGCTCTATATTTAGTTAATTAATTGACCCACACCCCTCTCCGCATTGGAAGCTAGTCGGCAACCCTTTACACGAAATCACGTTTCTAGATTTCAGCCACCAACCAACCCTCTCTTTCTATATTTTTTACACTCTCTCAAAGTTCAATATTTACTTCTCCCTTGCGTTTTGCGGGTAACAAAGTGGCAGTGTCCGTGTTGCCCCGTAACAAAGGTCACAACTTTTGTACCAAATTCCATAAAAAATACAACTGGTCTAACTCTTTAAAAAGTGCCATTTTGGTACCAAATTTGATACTGTGCCATACGGACTTTAATTTTAATAGTATGTTTCGGTTTCCATAATGTTATTTGAGATTATTATTAAACGATTAAGAAGCAGCACACTTTGGCAAGAGTATTATTTACTTATTTTTGCGTTCAACCCGTGACCTAAAATATTAAATCATACCTAGTGATTTGTATACAATTTTACACACTGGTTTTATATGACAACTACCACATTTCTTTTATGGAAAACATTCAATTAATTCGCGTCAGCGTTAATAAAGTCGAATTTGCCAAAAGCAGTTTAATAGAATCGAAGCCCAATTTTTATAAGCCCATAACTTTTTTGTTTTTACACCGATTTTCAAAAACAAAAAATTATTTTGTAGGTATTTTTATTGGCAACAATTTTGTTCTCTTGTAGATTTTCAAAAAAGTGTATATTTTTTGAGATATTTCCAAAAATATTAAAAAAAACACAATTTTTTGAGTTTAAAGCCCGTTTGGGCGAGTACGGCCCATGCGATTAAGTGCGATTTTTAAGGAAACATTGTCGACCACCTAAAGAAGGTATCCTGAAAATTTCAGCTTGTCCCAAATTTGTTCCGGGTTGCTCCATGTAAACACCTTTGTTTTACTAGCCTAAAACTGGTGTCAAAAAGGCGACATCTGTGCTACCAGTAAAGGCCCTAAATTAAGATCTCGGGGTCCCATGAAACAATACAAGGTCGGTCTCCCATGTGGAAGAATGGCGACAGATGTTGCCGGAATGTTCCCTGAGTCAGAGCGTGGTAACAAATTCATCTTGGTTATCATGGATTACTTGATTAAATCGCCAGGAGTTTTCGCTATTCCCATTCAAGAAGCCATCACTATTGCCCAGGTACTAGTGGACGAAGTTTTCAGTCGTCATGGTGTGCCACTAGGGTTGCATTCAGATCAGGGACGAAAATTCGAATCTGCAATCTTTAGGAAAATTTGTGAGATCATGGGCATTCGTAAGACATGGACCACACCTTTACATCCACAGTCTGATGGCAGGAACACCAGACAAAAGTGGTCGCAAAGAACCAGCGAGATTGGGACAAACACTTGCCTCTATTTTTATTGGCTTACAGCTGTTCCCGAGTCAACAGGTGAAAGTCCAGCTAGAATCGTTTTTGGAAGGGAACTCAGGTTACCTTGCGATCTTATGTTTGAAATACCTAAAGAAGAACGAAAAGTTATTCGAGACTATGCCGACGAAGTAACGGAACGACTTCTGGGGATATATGATTTAGCTCGGGAGCATTTTCAGCTCGCCAGTGACCGAATGAAGACCAGATACGACTTGAAAGCCAATTCAGGCGAATTTCAGAAAGGTTATTTAGTGTGGCTGTAAGAAAGAAAGAAGTGTCGCCGAAATTGTCATCAGCATGGGAAGGACCCTACAGAATATTCAAGAGGATTAATGATTTGGTTTATCGAGGTCAGCGCAACACCAGGAGAAAGATGAAAGTTGTACATCTGGACAGATTGACGAAATATCATGAGTGTAAAGTTGGTCGGGACGATACACCTTAATAGGAGGGCAGTGTAGCGGTGCGCTTTCACCATGGTGTACAGAATCTAACTTGAAATCTAGGAAATACTGCCTTAAGCCCGGGACACATCTATCATGCATTCTTCCGATCCGACTCCGATCATACAATCAGGGTCCTTATTCTTGGAACAGGGAGCAGCGTTCCGTTGCTCCCCGGCTTCAAGAAGAAGGACCTTGATTGTATGATCGGAGTCGGATCGGAAGAATCCATGATAGATGTGTCCCGGCCTTTATTCGGGCAAAGAGATTATCGCGCCCTTTCTGGATTTTACAAGAATGGATTACAGATATATAAAAGCCGGTATTAGTTAGTATTTTTTAGTTTGGGATGGGATGTGATTTGTTTTAAATAGTGATTATTGTTTTAAGAGTTGTTTCAGTTAATTAATGAAGTAATTAGTGTCAGAGTGTGTGGTAACGAACCCAAGATTTCTGTCATGCACCCCAGAGACGTGACAGTATATTCCAGAAATTCAGTACAAATAGATGTTTCGTAGATATCTCCGAAATACAGTATTGATATGCACAATACTTAATAATGCAAAATATGTTCGTTGTTTTGGTATGTTGTACACGTTTTCCCCCTGATGAAACTTTCAAAATTTAAAACCGTATGAAATGTTAACATATTATAGATTTAGAATAAACTCTTTTGTAGATGTTTGCCATAGTTAATTGCTAAATCAAGCAGAGTTGTTCGATAAAAGTTTATATTCCAACAAAACATTCAATTAAAAAAATAATAATTGTTACGTTTTTATTCTATATATTGACAAGTTTTTTGCGATTGCAAAATATATCCATCAACATTGTTTTAATTTTCAATTTACCTGACATAATTCATTATAAATATTCAAAATTCAATAAGGCTTCGAGGACTTGGTTCCATCATTATCTGGAAAAAAGATGAATCATTGTGCTTGAAAATACACCTAGTCACTTGAGTCACTAGTCACAACATTAAATTTTATCGGCTTAAAGCGAGATTTCCATAGGAAAAAAAAAACGTGTCCTTTGAAACCAAATATCTCTAAAGCCGTTCAGTGGGGACTTTTCGCACGTGTTTTTACAATGTCATAAAAGAGTTATAAAACGGTTATAAAAAAAAATCCAGCTTGAAAATTTCAATTTTTATGCTGTTTCTTTCCAGATCGTATCTAATTCAACTGGAAGTTGTAGGCCTGAGAGTCTGGTTTTCTATATCTGTAGGTATAGATTTTTGAATGGAGCTTTATCTGTGTAGTATATAGTGCCAGAATCAATTTAATAATATTTAGATATGATATCACTAATGTAATATGATTAACTATATAGGCATGCAGTTCCTAATAAATGTGGAGTAAGTACTATTTCCAATTATTATTTTTGGCTCAGGTTTTACGTACTATTATGTCACGTTTATTATTAGTTATTAAGATAGGTTACGGAAGATTTACAAATAGTGAAAATTAAAAAATTGCAAACCTAATTGTTGATAATGGTGACATTATTTCATAAATATTAAGTCAAAAGGTATAAAAATAGAATGGTCACTGTTAATAATTAAAAATAACTTCTATATAATTTCCAATAAATTTTCGCAAATTGAAAAAGTAGGTCGAATAAGACTGATTGAGTGGGATATATTGATAACCTGGCATATTATTAACCTACCTATATAATAATAAATTTCATATTCGTGAAACTCCTATCTACAATAGGTAGGTACGTGAACTAGGAAGCTCAGATTTGAAAAATATCTAAGTAATATTTTTCTTTGCAATATTATATTATAACCTTCAGAATCATCTAAAATTATCGTATTATATGGACCAGAGGCGGGTGATTTTGATCCAAAAATAAAATTCGTGTCACATATTCTCAAAATTTATAAACACTGAGACGCTTTTTCGAAAATAATCTTCTGGCAGAATCCGATCTTAATTAATTAGGCTTAATAATAGAACTGACTGGATCGGATTTTATGTTCTGTTCGTGTCTTTACATTTTTATTGCGAATACATTAGCGCCGGCAAGGTATTTATAGCATGATGGTTTTTTTTTCCGCGTTTTTCAAGCTCAATCAGATATTTTGGGCCTCTTAAAGGCGCTCTGCCTTTTTCAAAAGTTACTCATACAGGATGTTTTCGCAATAAAATTCAAATTTTTATTCAAAAAATCCTCAGAAGTATTTTTAGCATCTATTCTAGCAGAAATAACACGTCATATTTCAATAAAAAATATTTTCTTGGCAAATGAACGAACTGTGACAAATTGATAGTTCCACAAGAAAAAATAAAATTTGTTCCCACAATATCTACATTTTTAAAAACGATTAAATTAGTTTCTTATATTTTCCTAAAAGTCTACCTGTTAAACCGACGAATATCGCCAAAACTCCCACGATGATCCCACCAAAATTACGTCCCATTTCGAAAAGTTAATAATGCACTGTAAATTCACTTAAAAAAGTTCCTCCACGACGGCGAAAGGAAAACTTTTTGAAACATTAAGCACAGACGGAAAACTCTTTTAAAACAATTCACATCGTGAAAATCTCTTTTCTGTCTCCCCACTGGCCCCCAATATAAGCCGAAAAGTTAAGTTTTTTTTTACTCGTATAGTTTTCCGTAATTCTGTGTGTCAGTTCCTAAATTTGAAAACTGGGTTTTAGTAGAGGATGTTGGTTTTATTTGCAAAGTTTTGCGATACCACCTCACTCACTGGGGATCTATTTTAAAACTATTTTCCGAACTAGCGTCGCTTTAAATTTAGAAAGTTCGTCGTCTTTTTAAGACTTCAACACATCTTAGGAAAGACTGTGATTGATTCAATAGATTTTATTTTACCTCAAACAATTTTTTTTAATTTTTTTTGGAAAAGTCTCATTGATGGAGATCGGAAGTTTACGCGTCGGAAAAGTTTCAGCTGGAGGAAATATATCCCGACGAACGGCGAGATTCAGCCGGACTGAAAACCAAACGATCCTGAAATGCCTGAAAATCTCTACTGAAAACAGTGTCAGGGAGGCAGGAACACATGCGCGTCCTGCAAAAATTAACAGGTGCCGCCGTTATTAGTTCACAGTTTCTATGGTTTTTAGAATCTTTTTTTTGAAAGTTTTTGATAATTAGGGATTAGGGTAGTTCTCCAGTAGGTTTCATGCCTTCCTGAGACCGTATTAAGTAGAAATATAAGAGGCATAATAATGCGAATTATTAGGAATGTCGGTCATTGGTCAATATTCTCAAAATAAAGCACCAGGGAAATACGAAATATTGAATAAATCTTACCGTGATGGGTAAAGGATATTTCCTCTATTTAATATAGCTCTATTGTTTGAATTGATGATCCATGTTTTTTTTTTTCTCTCAGGCGTGTTCGACTTATTGTCTTCATGTACAGGTCCTTTACTGGGTGGTGTTTCATTATTGTTTCCGGGTTGCATCTATAAATATTCCGGTACCGTAAGGTGGGGGTACTTGCAACAGTGGCACAACTTGCAACATCTCGCTTGAGTCGCGCCTCAACCGCTAACGTGTTACCGTTTAGTACGGATCAGTAGGATGAAATGTGAGTAGGTTTAGCGTTGAAAAATTTTAAACACGAAAAATTTGGCGCCATTTTCTGACAGCTCTGGGAAGTGCTCTAAATTGTTGCAATATAACTTCTCCTGTGCAGAGCTTATTTACCCTAGGATTTGTATCAAATTTGGATATTATGTGCTTGAATGCTTAGTCTAAAACATTGAATATCTAGTTTTGAGTTAAGTTTGAAGGTTTTCGTAAATAGATTTTTTTTTAAATTGCATGTACAAAAGTGGGTGAGTTGCAACATGCCACGCAAATACAAAAAACAGTTAGGGAGTAGGACCTACCGTAATGATTCCAACGAAACTTTGGAAAATGCATTAAGGGCCATCGAAAACAGATCAGGAATTCGGGAGCATCGCGATAATTCGGAATTGACCCATCAACGCTTTCTCGGAAAAGAAGAAACTTGTTTCCTCTTGATCCTGGTAGGCAGCCTGTATTTCCAAAGGAAGAGGAGGAAGCTTTCGTGGATAACATTCTTCTAGCAGCACAGTGGGGTTTTTTTTAATTTAAAATCATACCATGACCAATTTTTGGCCAAAATTGACCAAAATTGGCCAAAATTAGCCAATTTTTTTTTTTTTAATATTTCTTGTTGCAAGTAAGTTAAAACGCGTTCCTAAATACAATTACTACTGAAAAAAGCCACTTGTTGCAAGTATCCCCTTGCAGGTGTTCAACTTGCAACACACAGTTTTTTCAAAAAATATATATCAAATAATAATGTTGTTCAAAGTTTTTTGTTAGATTCGGATACTAGACCACAAGAATAAAATTTTGGCACCAATTAGGTCAAATTCGACAAAAAAATAAAGAAGGTATCGGCAAAAGAATTTTGAAAATGTTGCAACTTACCCTACCTTACGGTATAGGATTCGGCACCTAGGCTAATTTTATTGGTCCATTTGAATTCGGACCCCCAATTAATACGGAGCGCCGAAATACGTACTTAAGTGTTAACGGTGCTGAGCCTCAGGTCGGAATGGTTCAGCAGCAAAAGCTATGTGGAGTGCCGAATCTAAGGTCAAAATGTTGAACAGTACTGTGCATCAGGGTCAGAATGTTGAATGTTGCCATGCGTTGAGCGCGGTTTTTAAAAGCTTTTTTGTAATAAATTACCACCACCCCCTTCGTGTTCCTCTTAGCTACAATTTGGCGGCGGATGCGGTCTATTTGGCTTTAACATGTTGCTTCAGGTGTTGTTGTGCTTAAACATGCAAGATGAGTTTGCCTGGATCATTTAAACAGTTTCAATGTGGTGAACAAATGTACCGTGCTAACATTTTGGAGGAAAACGATATAAAGCGATGGATAGAAGAGTATAGTGATATAATGTAGTAGTATAATATACCCGGACCTACGTTGTGGAAACTTACTCAGTTTTACTTTACATGGGCCCAACATAGCAAATATTTGGGAAATTTAAGGGAAGAGTTGATATGTAAAATAAACGAAAAATTTGTGAAACGTCTACTTTATTATTAAAATAAATCGTACCGTTCTCGACCTGGATTTCTCGAAGGGAAAGAGAAAGGCAGAGAAACCCTCGATCGAACATTCCTCAGAAATCAAAACATGCTGTGTCATTTTAATGATAATTGTGAGTCATTAATTCAATAATTTGAGTCATAAAAGTTTAAATTAGGTACCGTCCAAGGTTGTTCAAAACGAGGTTACCTGATTACTTTGATGACATCATCTGTATGCCTCAAAATAATGCAAATCTCCATAAGGCACTCCAGATGCGTCATCAAATTACCCATTACCAGCAAACCTATGAACTCTTGGAGCCTTGGGTATATATACCGTCTCTGTTTTTGTGCTAAAATTTTAATTCCACACACTACATCCAATCAACCTATATTCAATACTGAAGAGTTTTTTGTTAGTTAGGCAGTCTCATCAGCAGGTACTGAGGTCCCGTACGGGAAGCTACTCAGCTATAGTTGTTATTTTAAGCCAATATCTCTAGATTGATTTTTCAATTTATTTGCTAGGATATTCGCTCATCAGGGTAGGAAAATGTTAGTAAATTCAACAAGGCCCTAATGCACGCTCGGAATCCAAACATTAAAATCCCAGCACATAATTTTTCTAGTTTCTAATTTACTCTTTATCTGTGTTGTTTACAGCATGAAACGATTTTTGTTAAATACATGAACAATGCACATGCTACTATAAAAAATGTTATAAACAAACAAAAAAACATAAGAATGAAAAAAAATAATACGTGTATGAATTGAACTCTCAAAAACAAAATAACAATTATTCAACTGACCTGTGAATGCTCCTTTTGACACACAAATTGGATTGAACAATCAGTTTAATACAAAATAAAAATAAAAATTGAATAATGAACAATGGAAAACAAGCGTCTAAGGTACCATCTTCTTCTCTAGTCTTGACTCCTCTTCGGATTCGGTATTTTCGTTTTCTGTGGCGCGCTCCCGTCCAACCCAAAACTTGACGGCGCATATACATGGTTGCAACATTTACTTTTTTTTTCTATAGTAGACGTTTTATTAAAAAGTTGAGATTCAAAGAAATAATATTTCAAATAGATGGTTTTCCCCAATAACATATTATACGAATTGGAATGTGAAGTCAGCAAACAATTATTATACCAGATTCAAATGCAAGTTTGTGTTCAATGTCAATTCAAAGACGTAGAATCTTCTTGGGTACGAATAGACTTTAGAAAATACATTTTTTAGATATGTTCTTGTATGCCATCATAGTGCTTACAAAAAAGTGGATCAAGGAAATAATAACAAAGGAAAATCCAAAAACTGCTGTTTTCTGGCTTCAAATGATATTTCAATTAAACTTAGCACCACAGAAACAAAAAAAAAAGATAAATATATTGAGGAATTTATTTCCAAAATGTTCTACTCTAATTTGGCAGGTTTTTATAAATTAATTAGACAATAATATTATTATTTTTAAGAGAAATTTTATAGTTATTTATTTACGACTAATGTATAATGTGCGTATTATATTTGTGATTTTGGCAGTATAATGACATATGTTATTCCTCCAGGAATTAATGACGAGTAGCGGGATTCATGGTCATTATTCCACAAAAGTGTCAGTGTCAAACGTGTAGTGCTTGTGGATTTGTATTGAAAATTATGAGACGGATGAAATTTGTTCATTGAAAATCTCAAATAAAATAATTTGTCGTAAATAAAGTAGAGTATACTACTCGCAATAATGGCTATTATTATTGTGCGTTTATGAACATGATTACAATAACGAGTGTGAAAGATTAGAATTCTAATCACACGAGTTTAGTAGTCATGTTTAAACGCGAGAGTGATGTATAATGTTTTATCTACAAAGCGAAAAATAAGAAAGTTTTTTCAATCATTTTCGTTTATTAGTCGTTGTTTACCTTCATTTTACCTTTACAGGTTTAACTTTAACATTTGTCAAATCACCATGTGTTATGAATTCATAACCACTGTTCTGCAAACGCTTGTAGATAAAACAAATTAATAATGGACCATTTTAACGATAATAAGGAAGGCGAAGATAAATTATTTAACAATTTTATTTTATTTTTTGCCAAAAATTGTTTTATTTTCTGGTGGGGCAATATCAAATAATTAGGAATAAGATAAAGTTGGATATAGCCGCGAATATCTTCTTTTTGAGATTTGGCGAGCAATCGAAAACTTAAAAATAATTTAAATTTTTTAAGGTGTTAATGGTATTTAAACAAGGTTTTTCACGTTTCTGGTTCAATCGAAGAGTTAACAACGTCTACCTTCTACAAAAGTCGGAGGTTGGTGTGCGTTTGGGTGGTTGTGAGTTGCAAAAATAATTCAAATCTCAA